GGGGAGGGGAAGGATAGGAGGGTACAGGAACTAGTATTGACATGTAAAACAAGCTTGTTTCAAATTTAAATTTAAAAAAAAAAAAACCCAACTCTTTGTTTCTTTGTATTGTTCTTTTTGTTTCAATTTGTTGATTTCAACCCTTAGTTTATTTCTTGCCATCTACTCCTCTTTGATATGATTGCTTCTTTTTCTTCTTGAGCTTTTAGGAATGTTGTTGATTCACTTGTATGAGATTTCTCCAGTGAGATTTCTCTGTGTGGACATGTAGTGCAATGGACTTTCCACTGCTTTTATTGGGTCCCATAAGATTGAATTCTAGAAAGTCATTGATTCTTTTCTTTATTTCTTCCTTGACTCAGTGGTAACTTAGGTAAGATTTATTCAATTTCCATGAGTTTGTAGGTTTTATGTAGTTTGTGATGTTGGTGAACTCCAGCTTTAACCCATAGTAATCTGATAATATAGAGGGGGTTATTCCAATTCTTTTCTGTGTTTTGAGACTTAACTCTTTGACCAATTCATTTTTTGATTTTGTAGAAGGTTTTATGAGGTGCTGAAAAGAAAGTATATTCTTTTGTGTTAGTGTGAAATGTTCTCCAGATATCTGTTAGATCCATTTGAATCATAAGATCTGTTAGATCTTTTATTTCTGTTTAATTACTGTCTGGATATCCTGTCTGTTGGTGAGGGTGAAGCATTGAAATCTCTCACTATTAATGTGTATGGTTCAATATTTGATTTAAGCTTTAGCAATGTTTTATTACAAATGTAGGTGGCTTTGTATTTGAGGCATAGATTTCATAATTGAGACACCATCTTGGTGGATTTTTCCTTTGATAAGTACAAAACTTCCTTCTCCATCTCTTTTGATTAATTTTGGATTGAAGTCTATTTTATTATCATGGATGTAGATAACTTCCTTGAGATGAAGTTGTTTTTTTGTATCTTCAGTAGAGAGGAATATGTGGACAGACATTGTTTAAATTTGACTTTGTCATGAAGTGTCTTGTTTTCTTCACTTATGATGATTTCAGTTTTGCTGGGTATAGTAGTCTAGGATAAGCTTTATGGTTTCTTAGAGTTTACATATCCAGCCCCTCCTGGCTTTTACAGTCTCCATTGAGAAGTCAGGTGTAACTTTAATGAGTAAACATTTATATGTACTTGGCTAGTAGCAAACCAGCAGTCAATATCAAATTAAATGTGTGTGTGTGTGTGTGTGTGTGTGTGTGTGTGTGTGTGTGTGTGTGTTTTAATCCTCTGGCAGATTTATAGTTGATGAAAATTCTCTGCTACTACATTGCTTCCTTTTCAATCACTTGATTCTAGCCTTGGGTGCATGGAAGCTTTTTATTATTATTTCCATTTTCCTAACACAATTTCTAGCTGTACACTAAATACACATGCTTATACCCAGAGGTAAATGCAGTCCTTACCCCATATTGATGAAACTTTTTATTGTAGAAGACATAGACCATTACAGAAATCCATGGCTGGTCAAAATGTATAAAATTACTGACTATGGGGAACTCAGCCAATTCTCAACACACCTCATGCAAATAAGTCTCAGGGAACATCTATTTAAAGAGGAAATAAAGATTTTAAGACAGTTACAGTCAGGTTGGAGGGCTCTGAGTAAAACATCTCTCCACAGCCTCTCAGCTTGTATCCAGTTTTCCAGACAGATTAATTACAGGGACAAAGCCTTACTTAGCCACCTATATGCTTAAGGCAAGCAACTAAAGACAAATTTTGTATACTAAGGTATACTAAACAGTCAGACATCCCTCAAGTGCTCAGAGAGCTAGAGAATATGGCATTTAAAATGTTTCATTGAAAAGCTTTTATAACAGAGAGACAGGTCAGCTGCTGGCACTACCCATTTCATCCAAGAAGACTGGTGGCAATACTAGCCACTGAGCAATCCTGCCTTTCATCTCAACTGCTATAAAGGGCTCTAAGGACTGCAGACAAGAAGGCAGTGGAATCGACTTTCTCCACATTGTTCCCCTCCTTCTCTTGCTCTTGCTCTGCTCCTTTCTCTCTCTTCTCTTGCCTTGCTCTCTCTTCCCCCCTCCCTTTTTCTCCTCCCTACCAATAAACTCCATGTGGGTGCTGAGTCTTGTGCTTGTGCTTCTTAGGCAATACTTGTAGCAAAAGAACAACAAATGGGACCAGTAAATTCGCTGTGAGGTTATATCTAATAGATAAGAAAATTACACTCATGAAATATCAACAACATAACTACCTAAACAAGATTTGAACAATCACTACACCAGTTGACATGCCAACGTAGATAGGGGAAATCTCACCCTTAGATGAAGAGCTATGAGCAATTAATGATGACTGAGAGAAGAAAAACTAGTCTTCCCCAGAGATACTCCTGCCTTTTAGGTAATCCAAAACCAAGTAGCTAACTCTAAAAGCATATACATATGATCAACACTAAATGGACTAAGTAGGTTATATTCATATACTTAGTTGTGTGTGGATGTGAGAGTGTGAAATAATGTTAAAGAAAAGAGGCCAAGAAAATTGAGAGAGAGAGTGAGGGAGAAGGACATAGGACAGGTTGGAGGGAAAACAGAAGTAAATGATGAAATTATATAGTTAATTAAAAATCTGCTTCCGTGGGATATGTTTTATTTATTTGTTATCTGTTATTTATTTATTTATGTTTTTAAGACACAGTTTTTCAGTGTAGATCTAGCTGTTCTGGAACTTGCTTTGTAGACCAGGTAGCCTCAAACAAACAGAGATCTGCTTGCCTCTCCTTCCTTGGTGCTGAGATTAAAGGAGTGTGCGACTGGCATCGATATACTTTAAACAATTAGATATTCCTAACTTTAGCTTGTTGCTAGGCAACTTTAGCATCAATGGGTCTTAGTCTTGAAGTAAACAAGGTAGGATCAACAAACAGTTCATCAGGACCTAGGAGCAAAGGAACATTACTCCATTACTCCAATTTAAACTTAAGTTTTTGCTAATTATAATCTACCCTATGATGATTTAATTCTAATAAATGCACCATAATAAGGATAGATAACTAGGGCAAAACTATACACTTGAAATATATAGTTGGATAATTTGGCAACTATATGTATTTGGTACACAATTTTCCTGAAAACCCAAATATTCTCAGAAAAATGTTTATAAAACATTTTTGATGATGCAACCAAAAATAGATATAATGAGAAAGAGAGATAAACATGAATTCTGGTGGATAGGGAGGTGATCAAAACTTATTGTATGAATATCTTAATAAAAATTTAAAAATTAAATGTTAAAAGGGAGAAAATGAAATAGGATAGAGATTTTAGGGAAATTTTATTATCAAGAAAATAATAAAACATCAAAGCAAAAAAGTCTACAGATCCCAAATATATTTAGCAATGATTTGAATTTGATTAAGACAGAAACACTTGGATAACATAGAACAGAGAAAGAAATTGATTCTTAAAAGTTGTTTAAAAGTAAGGAAGAGAAGACTAGAAATGCAAAGGAAATAGAAAATAAATGTACTTCAGAAAAAATGAAGGTTTTTAATTATAGTTGGCATTATTGATTAATTCAAAAGGAAAAATGTAATCACAGAGACTTTAATTTCTTATCTGAAGATGTTTAAAAAGCAATACTGCCAGTTGTGAGACCTACCTGACAAGCTCATGAACATGATCAGTAAAGATATAAAATGACAAAGTGCAGAATAATATTTCTAATACCATAATAAAATAGCAAAATAAAAACATGCACCATCAACTCTATTCACAGAAATGCATTTATAGTTGTATCCACAGTTATGCTCAAGACTAAGTGAAAACACATTTGTGGCAACCTAGCCAAATGTGAGCCCCAATTCAATATGATTCAGTAAGAATTGTCACACTTAATGTGCAGCTTGTACTAGAACATCTTACATTTCTGTGTCATTTATTGTCTCCCACTTTTCTTTTAGGTGCCCCAAAGAGTCTATATATTAACTACACAAATGTCCTTACAAATTCAAATGTGTCATTGATCAAGGATTCAACTTTCCTCATCATATTGTATGTGATAACTCACAAATCCCTATATAGTGCCACATACTGAACCATTTCTTCAGTATAAAAGTGGCATATAAGTCATGTTTGCTCAATATGAATAATGGGTCCTAAGGTGCAAGTTTTTAATATTCTTCACTTGTATTTTTTTCCCAAGAACCTGAAACGAATCTAAGTAAAATAAGATCTACTGGTTGAGAATGAGTAATTTCTAACCCTGTGGTTACTGTGTCTGAATGAAAATGGCCCCATACTGGTAGAATTGTGTGGGAAGAATTAGCAGGTGTGGCGGTTAAAGCAAGTATGTTAGTGGAGGTGTCTTTGAGACCCAGTGTGCCAGTGCTTAAAAGATATGAGTTCTCAATAGTTATAGCCATCAGACCTTTGTTCACCATTATTGACTCTAACCATCTGAAAAGCACAGCCCAATGAAATGTTTTCTTTTTTTAGGTTGCATTAGTAGTGGTATTTTATGGCAGGGATAGAAAAGTAACACAGTTATCTAGAACTGCAGGGATAAATGATGGGGGATGCCATTGTGTATATATGTTTCTCATATTGGTTAATGAATAAAGCACTGTTGGCCAATAGGAAAGGAGATAGGAGGGACTAGGAGGCAAGGAGGAAAGAGGAAGTAGTAAGGAGGAGTCAAGATGGAGAGTCTGGAGAGAGCAGAATGCCGGCTGGCTCCCCGGTAAGAGAAATACATAGATCAGCAGAAATGGGTTAATACTTAAGACAGAGCTAGCCGATAAGAAACTAGTACCTGGCCAACAGCATCATATCAAATACAGAGTCTCTGTGTGTTAATTGTGGCTGGCGCAGCAGCGGGAGAAGACCAGTGGCGGGAGGAAAAACCGTCCCCCTTAGAGATAAATGTTCTTAAAATCTTTCTATTTACTATTCCTGACACACTTAATATCACAAAAGCTATAAGAGTGAGTAATGGATTTATACCTGAGCTTGGTGTGATCATCTGAAGAAGGAACATGACAATACAATGTCCATAAAAACATAATCCTTTGGATACCATTGCACCTATAAAAAGAAGAAGGCAAGTTACAAAGAGGGAAAACATTAATAAGAATTTGTAAAAGTGAAATAAATACGGAGGAGATAAGAGTAAATAGATTTATCACTATACGGAAATATATTTGTAAGCTTCTAGCATTCTTCATCCTTTCTGACAGACCTAGAAAATGGATATAAGAAATAGAGGAAATTCAAAGCTTAGAATAAGCATTTCAAAAGATCTTTGGAGAAATAGGCTGTCTCTATCATAGCTCTGAAGAAATTCTTCATATTCTTTACTATGGGAGCTATTGGTAATGTTTTAATCCAGGTTCTGATTTAAAGGGATGCAGAGTTGGAGCAATTTAAATATCCATTGTGGAAAATCTTAATCTAAGTTAAGGACAGGGAAGAGCAACCTGATATTCAAAATCCCAGGGTAAGGACAACTTGTCATAGATGACAGAACATTGCATGGGGTCACTAGCATGGATTTCCTGACAGTGGGAAAATTCCTCTGCAACTAAAGAGCCTCTTGGTTATCTGGTACCATCTATCTAGATCTATTGGTCACTTTCCTCATTACCAAATACCTGAAAAGAATCAAATTAAGGGAAGAATATCTTGTGTTTCCTTACAGTTTAAGAAGGGATACAACATGTTTGGAAAGACATGGTAGCCACCGTGTAAAGCAGCATTGAGACTAAAATCAGGAAACAGAGAGAAGAAAGAGATGAGGCCAATCTATCAAATTAAAAAGCCTGTTTCCAGATGACAACCCATCAAAGTTCATCTCCTTAAGTTTTTACAACTTTCCAAAATAACGCTACCATTTGATAATGAAGTATTCAAACATGTGACCCTATGGAGATAGACTGTAAATATTGCTGATCAAGGTCAACTTGACAGAATATAGCAATACCTAGAAGATAGATACATGAGGGAGATTCTATACCAGAGCAATGTAGTAAGAAGACCCAGCCTACTGTGTACAATAGTATTCTGCAGGATGAGGCCCTGAAATAAATATAAAAGAGAAAAACTCAGCAGAAAAATGTCCTTCATCTCTGTTTCTTGGGTAGTGACCAGCTATCTGACACATATTTTTGCCAACATTACTTTTTTGCCATAATCTTTTAATTTTAAGCTGATAAGAAACCAACATTCCTGAAGTTGCTTTCTTACCTAGCAAAATGTGACAACAATAAAAAGCATAACTAATAGAGGGACATTTCAGATTCAATCCACAGCATTTCATGTATGCCCTCATAGGCTCATATTCATCTCATAATACTGATGCATTAATTCCAAATGAAGAATTTATCACAGTCTCTAATGATTTTAATGTTTTTCAAAAGCTGAAAGTCTCTTCTGAGACTCACAGTGTAATCTCTTAACTGGACCACTCAAAAATCCAACAACAAATTGCATACTTCCAATACAAAATGTCATAGAACAAACATTTCAATCCCAAAAGTGAAAATCAATAGGACAGAAAAATTAGAAAAAAAATGTAAGACTAAAACCCACCAGAGCAAACACTAAGCACTACAGTTCCACACCTGGAATAATTATCTGTGCTCCAAAGGTAACCTTTTTCCTCAAGCTCTGCTGCCTGTAATACATGTAGCCTTTGTCTGGGGTCAGCCATATTCTGTGTCTACAGATTTCATAAATTAATGACTTCTGGGACTGGCATCTGCAACTTCCTGAGGTTTCCATTGAAACATAAGTTTTCCTTCATTGTTTCATATAATGTTCTCTTGGAGTTTCCAACCAGGAATTTCAATCCAGGCATGTAGGGTCTCAGTGAGTTTTTGGAACTTTCATACATACTTCTATGACTCCTCCTAAAAGTATGTTGCATGCTTTCAAATATGGTACCATGTAGGTGATTTTGCCAAGTTCTGTTGACATATTAAAACCACAGTAAAAGAAATAGTAACTAATCCTCAACATATAGATAAATTATCATTGGATCTGGCTTCCATGACTATAGTTCTTTGCAAGCATTGATAGACATGTCGTTTCATCCCTACATTATTTCATGTGTACATATTTCTGACAAACTAATTCGTTTTGCAACAAAGTAAATACCTAACACAATCAAAAATATTATATTCTCTTAACCTACAATGCACAGCTAACTTATAACAACTCTATGACATATGAGATATGTTTTAAATTAGGGGCTGATTTGGCACAGTTATTTTAAGCAAAGCAGCAGTCTAAATTTCAGGACTGAAATATGTCCAAACCACCATCTATAAGGCTTATGATATCTTATAGGACTGGAGGTTTGCCATTGGTGATGGTGGAAACTTTCGTGCACTGGTGGAGAAGTCTGAGTTGTGCACTAGACCAAAGACAAGTTTTGACTGTGATGAATAATGTCTTTATTCATAGTGCCTATCTATAACTTTCTTTTATGTCTTTGTTTTAAGCAAAATCATAGTACATCTAAAATATCCTTCTTGGGTTTTGAAGATAGCTGAGATATTCTCATGGTTTCATCTCAAAAGATATGGATTTTGTAAGTGCTTTATCAAAATTCAGTCATTGTACATTTTGTATAATACAGTATATCTATTATACCCGGGCTATTAATATGGCATCTCCTTATATATGCAATTACATTGTGTTTTCCTTAAAGTCTTCTTTCCAATACTTTAAAATCATCATGGATATCTCATTATAAGGTATTTCTCTTTTTTTGTTATTTGTAATGAGCTATAATGTACAAACAGTATTCTAGTTGACAAGAATATTAAGGACTGAGATCTATTCTGAGAAATATCAATAGGAATATCTTTCTTTATTCCTTATTAAAACACACTCCAGAAAGTGATCCTATTTTTTGTTGAGAGTTGGTGTTGCTAGACTGAATTTCAGCTATCGCTTAAAGGAAACTTGAGAAAAGCTTCTCCCCTCTGGGTGGCTATTACTCAATACTACTAACTCCGTATATGTTGCTATTCTTTTTGTATAGGTCAAGTGACAAGAAATGTAGTGACAGAGAGGCCCCCATAAAGCACATGGAGAAAGGACAAAAGAAAAGATCATCTATGTAAAGAAAAACCTGTCTTAGAATCTGACTAATTATTCTCACTTACTTGACTCAGGTGATCCTGGATCAGCTCCCTTTTGTTTCTGTAGAGCTGGTCCCAATTGGATCACCCAGATATCTAACAGTGCATCACTGATTGTTCTGTAGCCAGGGCAGTGTACAACATAGGCAGAATAAAGCCAGGAGAAATCATTGCCAAAGCTTCTTCTTTGCCTATACACTCTGGATATATGATACTCTGACCCAATATTTATATTACTTTCAAAGGGAAATTTCCAGTAGACTGATGGCATCAATATGTAAATGAAAGCTCAGTTCTGGCACTTGGTATTACTCAAGTTCTAACATGACTCTCCTTGCTGTGGGAAGAGGCAAAACAAAATTGCATTAATGCCATGCAATTAATAGTGCAGTCAAGAACTGAGATAATTTAATTTGTATGCCTGTGTCTGAATTTAGAAAGGGAAAGGAGACTAAATAAATGCTCTCAGCTAGGTTATACATTCAAGGGATATTTGAGAGCTTGTGACTATTTCAAAGAGTCTTGAAACAAAATTACCCATAAGCCAAATTAAGCAAAGAAATACAGCAAGTATAGATTGCAAGCAAAGTGATCTTGAGAATATTAACTGGATATTTCACATAAAGTTCTCCACTGTTCATTGAATGGAAGATAGGATAGGAAGGAATGGTTAAGAGTTGAGCTGCAGAAAGAAGCAAATATGAAATAAATAATGATAGTTTAAGAAGCATGACTTCTAGTTAAGTTAATGTTTATAATTATGTACTTGAACCTAGCATAACATATAAATGTACACATTTATATTACATATACTATAAGTATATAACTTTATAATAATTACATCTAAATATATATAAGTATATGAATGTATACAAACATAATAAAATTGCACATATTTTTGTATGTATCCTAAGATACACACAGGTGTATATAAAATGAATGTGCTACTTTTCCCTGGACTCTATATTCCAGCCTAAAACTTTAGCAGATGTCTTCTGCTGTACCAGGGACATGATGGAGCTGGGGACTCAAGAATGCCCTTTTCTGGGCCCCATACTCAGGTCTACAACTCTGGCAGCCTTACTGCAGGCCCAGCAGGACCTAGGAACCCCATGTAAGACACCATCCACCACATACTAATACTCCTTAAAGCCTACCTAACCACCCCATACTATACCTCTTCCCCTGGGCTTAATATTCCATCCAATAACTAATGCAGAAGACTCTGCTATAACAAAGTCTAAACCAGTTATAAGGAACCAAGGTAAAAACACTGCCTACAGCCAACTAACACTCCGTAAGTCTAGTTGAACAGCCCACAACCTTGACAGAAAACTTTTGCTGTATTGGGGGCCATACCATACTAGAAATCCCAGAGGCCAAGCAATTATTCAAAAATCTCAGAGGCTACATAAGTAATTGGAATCACAGAGCAAATGATAGCAGCCAAATACTCAGATTTGGCCATCTTGCAGACCCCGCCAAACAGTGGAAACGCCATACTACATTGAAAGGCTAACTCATAAGTCATGAAACTCTGGTCCACTAAGGCCAGACCAGAGAGGAAACAGAAACCAAGAAAAAAAAAAAAAAACAAAACAAAACAAAAAAAAAAAAAAAAAAAAAAAAAAAACACCCACCTAACAAAGAAAATTCATGAATCAATAACTAAACCAACAATCCTCCCAAACCCATATACCTAAATGCCAGTATAAGAAACACAATCAATAACAGAAAGGGCAATATGGTACCACCATGGCCCTGCTATTCTGTAACAGCAAGACCTGAACATTCCAACACATCTGAAATACACAAAGAAAATTATCTCAAAGCCATCAACTTTGTGAAGATTATAGAGTTCCTTAAAGAGAAAATGAAAAATACCTTAAAGAAATTGAGAAAAAGACAAACAAAATATTGAAGGAAATCAAGA